AAAAAAGTTACAAAGTGCTTCACTTATAAATACACAGTTTATCTCTGACGTTGTTTTCATCTTCTGCTGCTGCCTTGCTCCCGACACTGTAGCTCGTGTAAATCCTCCGCTGTCTCCCTTGTGTCCGCAGGGAAGGGTGCCTTTCCTTGTGCCAGACAAGGTGCTCTGGCCTCAGCTGTGTGATGCCATCAACATGAAGTACAAGGCTGAGGTGCAGAGCAACCGAGGCCTGTCCGAGGAGAACCTGGTCTTCCTGGCTCAGAAGGCCTTCAGCAGCTCGAGCAACAACCCCGATGACTACCGCAGCATAACCATGACCTGGTCACAGTTTAACAGGGTCAGTTCCAGTGTCTTTTTCACTCGTGGCTCTCCACAGCTTCTCTTCCTTGAATGCAAACACACAGCTTGTATGAGGATCATTCTATCTGCGATCATCACTTTTAATGAATGGGGTTTTATCATGCTGCACTTAGAATGTGGTTTTCTTTATGCATTTTTAAAATACCAACAGGCCGGTTTTAGTAAACCACTCTCACCGCTGCGCATGTTCTCGACAGAATGATTTACTATTGGTGGATTATTCACATATAGAGATATTTCTTGCTCCATTTACGTTGCCCTGCTGCCCTGTTCTGCAGATGCTGCAGTCGAATTGAGTGAGAACGCCTCATTGGCAGCCATGTCTTTATCTTAATGGACCTGTTTGTCCACACACTGAAAGGCTGGAGGCCTCATTTTCTGGCTCAAAGCAGCTGGCGATGGCGGAAAACGCACTCACATTCACTACACACCATCAGTCTCATTAGATTACAGGAACATCAAGTTTCAAGCGCTTCACAGACTTGTGGCTACACACACACACACACACATGTTCACTCAGTTAAACCATAAATACAACTAGGATGAGGACATTTTTGTTTTTCTCTGTATTTCTGGACTGGGTGGACATAATATCGTCTAAACACGTCTGTACGCTTTTAATAATATTTTTCCCCCCAATTCCCCTTTTCTTCTACAGGAAAGCTTGCCAGGGAGGAACTTCACATTTTGGCAGTGGTTTGATGGTGTGATGGAACTCACAAAAAAGCATCTTAAACCACACTGGAATGACGGGTAAGGAAACTGCAGAGTTTTTTTTTTCGTCTTGTCAGTTTCAGTATTTGGCTGAAACGTGAGTCAGAACAGAAAAATAAAAGCACTACCTCTCTTTTTTCATTTTGACAGCTGGACTGCATGCTCTGTGAAAGTATTTTTTTCTCCTGTCCCCATTTTGTCAGTCATGAAAAACGCAGGCAATGTTTCACTTGCATGATTTTCCACGGCACCCTGGGGAGCTGCCTAGCCACTCTCGCCAGTAAACTTGGATTGAAACGCGCTGAGGGGGAAGCACAAGATCATTTTTCTATATGTCTCTCCCTTCTCCTTTTTCAGGGCCATCTTGGGCTTCGTGAACAAGCAGCAGGCTCAGGATATGCTGATGTCCAAACCCAACGGTACTTTCCTTCTGCGCTTTAGTGACTCTGAGATCGGAGGAATTACAATAGCCTGGGTGGCAGAAAATCCTAATAAAGCAGGTATGATATGCAAATGCTTGTTATAAATTTGAGTCAATTTTATTTATAGATAAAAATATAAGATAAAATAAAAATAATGCTGAGAACACTCAAAAGCCTGTGAGAACATGAGGGTCTTCAATTTAGTCTTAAATATGTTTACAAATGGGAACCCTTACTTGTAGAATGCCAAAGCAAAACTTGAGAGGTCATTTTCTAACTAAATCAACTGTCACAATCTGTCAACCATCTTTTGGCTAAATTAAAGCTGCATTAAGCAATTTTTGGCCACTAGAGGGCAGTGAGATAAACTGTAACAGTAACAGAGTATCGCAGATGTCGCCCTGTGTTTATCTTATTGAACTCATCTCTTTTACACCAGAAGAAGATAACTGTAATAACTCCTCACCTAAGTAGTTTAAAGTAATGAGAAATAGAATGGCCCGACATTCCCCTTCAATCCTGCACCAAATCTGTCATGTTCATTTAAGTATATGTCTGAAACTATGAAAGAAACATATAAACTGTTGATTCCTGACTGAACATTATCTCAGCTACACATTGGTGGTAGTTTCAAGTGTCTTGTCCTGTTTGTTACAGTGTAGCAGCTGAAAACCCTAAACCCCCCCATGAAAGCAAATTTTATTGAATTTAAATCAGCTAGATCCCCTTAATATGCCCTATTTTTTTTTTTCGTTTTTCATCAAGCTGGGTGCATTATTCCCTGTGAAATTGACCCAAAATGTATTGGGTTATTTATTGGCCCATGTCTCATCGTTCCACCTGGTTTTGTGGAAATGTGCTGTTTCATTTTTGCATAATCCTGCTGACAAACAAACGGACAGGGGTGAAAACATAACTTGCTCGGAGGAAACACCACTGCAGTAAAACTGGAGAAACAGTTTGCTGGTGGGACATCAAGATTGTGTTACTATACTATATTATACTGACTCTGTGGTGGGGGCACTGTGCTTCTCCAGGTGAGAGAATGGTTTGGAACCTCATGCCCTACACAACCAAAGACTTCTCCATTCGCTCTCTGGCGGACCGCATCAGCGATCTCAATCACCTCCTGTTCCTCTACCCCGACAGACCTAAGGATGAGGTGTTCTCCAAATATTACACCCCACCCCTCTGTAAGCAACCCTCTGTTTGCATTGGCTGTTTTACTCTCAAAATTTCATATCACGGGTGCAAGACCCCCATTGTGAAGAGATGTCTTCACTGATGTAGAGTAACTGCTCTGAGCTGTCAGTCACTCTCTCTCCCTGTGCTTGTTTGTTTTAAAGCCAAAGCAGTGGACGGCTACGTGAAGCCGCAGATCAAACAAGTGGTGCCCGAGTGAGTATCAAGCTTCCTGTTCGTCTTTCCTCCTGCTCCCCCTCTTTTTATTTCTCTCTCGAACCCCCAGTGTTTTTTTTCTCTCTGTGGCAACATTTAGAGTTAATCACTCAATATTGGAGCCTGAATTCAGATCAGCTATTAGTCAGCTGTTACAGTTGGAGGAGGCCAATTAAGGGTGGCCAAGGTTCCTGAGAGAGCTTGTCTTCCGCTCATCATTAGAGTTAGGCTTGTTAGTTAGCGAGCCCTGCTCCGTGCCTTTCTCCATGGTTGCTTCATCCGCACCACAGAGAACGGCCATAATGATGCAGCGGGGCCTGGAAAACACGCTGAGGTTAGTTGCTTTGGCAACTGATGAACATAGACTTATCGTGAGTGTGTGTGTGTTTGTGTGTGTGTGTGTGCAGGTTTGCAACAGCCAATCCAGACCCAGCAATTGGGAACCAAACCTACATGGATCACGGTGCATCGCCAGCACCTGTCAGTCACCCTCACACCTATGGCATATACCCACCTATGTGAGTCCCTCTATGAACTGCTGTGTGTGAGCGTCTTTGTGTCATTTGTCTTGGTAAAGAGCGAATTGTTGCTTTTGCTCTTTTTTTTTTGGTGATGTGCTGCCAGCGTGTCTGAATGTGGGTGACTCCTCTCTGTGTCCTGTGGCAGGAGCGACTCTATGCTGGACGCGGACGGAGACTTCGACCTGGACGACACCATGGATGTGGCGAGACACGTGGAGGAGCTGCTCCGGCGGCCCGTAGAGAGCCAGTGGGGCGGCCAACAGTCATGACCCTCGGACCTTTTTAACCTGCGACAACACCAAACGAACCCTGCCTCCCAACTTGCCCCACTCGCATTGACATCTCTCATGGTTTAATTCCATCCACTGCTCTTTTGTTTCTGATAGCTATAATGTGAAATGTTAATAATGGTTGTGATCTATTTTTTTTTCTCTTTTCAGCATGAGAGCATGCACGTCAGTGACTTATCTTAGTTTTATTTGTGTCCGTTAGTGTTTGTAAAACAGACTAGGTATAAATGCAAAACCTACAATGTTACAATATTGTGAAAACAGAAAAAGAAGAAATAATGTTCATTCACATTGTGCATGCATTTCCAGTTGATTTTGAACAGATTTAAACAATATGCTACTGTATGAAGTCATTTTAACAGCTGAATGTTTTTATTTTGTTATATTTTCTTCTTTGTAAATGGGTTATCAGTATTTTGATAGTGACAAGGAACTTGCCCTTTGACAAAAAAGAAACTAGTGAAGAAGTTTCACTCTAAACAACATGATCTGAGTCACTGCTCTGCAGAGTTAGTCAGTTTTTCAAATCTGTATGCACTAACCTAAAGGCAGAGTCACTCTCATAGCGACTGACAGCACACACATCAGCATAGCATGGTGTGCACACACATACACATACACATGGGTTGAGTGTATAATGTGTTTTTTGTTCTGATTTCTTCACCAGCTGAAATGCAGGAGGGAGGTTTACGCTCCTCCCTCGCTCTCACAGGGCTATCTATCTTCTGTTTGTACACAGAAATGCAAATTGAAGCATTTACCCGCCGCTGCCTGCTCGTCCTCTCAGGTCCCTCTGTTCCTCTCATCAATGCTACCTCGCATCACTCTACTGACAGTCGTTGTTACTTTCCGTTGTTGTTTCTGCACCACATCCACACCAGCAGGTACGGTCATTGGTTTTTTTTTTTTGATTTTGTCATTTGAATTGGCTTGCGTGAAGACGTTCCCTCGCTGACTGTTGGCTGGTTGTTGTTTTATTTGGTTTTGTTTTTATGCTTGAAACCACTTACCTGAAGAAAGTGTCATGTCCGGTCGGCATGTTTGACTACCAGGAGGCAGTGCTGCTCCCTTCTGACTTCTCTGCCTCTCCGTCCGCTTGGTCCTGTAGTTCCACGTCTCTGTGCGGCCTCTGCCGCCAGCAGCTGAAGACGCGAGGCATAGATAGATGGATGGGCACAGGCTTTGGATGCTTGCACACTCTCACCAGGCCACATTTAGAACACGAGCCTGTCCAGTTGAGTCAGTCTGCCTCTTCGTCTGGCTTTTGTTTTTCGAGATTTCCAGATCAGTTTTCATTGTGCATCACCTGTTTGTGCTACACACTAAAGATAACAAGTAAATTAGTGTGGTAGAGAATGCTGAGACTATTACCCCACTGCCTCCACTTGATACAAACATATTCACACACAGAACACTCACTAGATTACGTGTCATTGATAAAAGCCTTGCACCTCAGGAATAAATCGCTTTGCTCAGCTGATGTATAAGCCAAATAGAAAAAGATCTATGTGCACAGAATATATGAATTTATTTTCTCTTTCATAATTCTATGTTATTATTGTTTCTCTGGCACTGCCCTTATGAATGTAACCCCTTTGCATGACCCTGCTGAGGATTTACATACAAACAACCCCCCCCCCCTCCGTCTGAGCAGAAGTTCCGTGTTGCCAGAAGTACCAGTTGAAAACAGGACAAAGAGCAACTGGAAATTTGAGAAGAATTGACGACGTACTTTGTTTTTGTCCGACAGACATTACATCACAGTATTTAAAGATATTCCCTCATGCTATTTCTTTTTCTATCTCCTCCTCTGTTTTTCAAATCTCAGCCTGCACAGGCCGTCTCGTGATATATCCTTATTACCATAATTCGTCATTCATTTTTTTCTTTCGAGCTTTGTTCCACTATAGACTGTGTACTTTTTCAATGACGTAGATGGCGCTGTGTGCTGTTTGATGTATGTACCATGTTTCGTGGGTCGGGTTTATCACTTGGAGGTTTTCCAAGAGAAACAGCTGTTGAGTTGAAAAAGAAGAAAATAAAGTTTTATAAATAATTTCAACAAAGCCTGTAGAAGTACGGACGATCTTGATGTCACTACAAAATAAATGCTTTTTTTATGTGTGCAGTCACCATCCACAGATTGAAAGGGTTGTGTGTTTCCATGCCAACACTTATATATACATCATATATACATTAGAAAGGCATAGCTGACTTTCACCATATATAAAATGACACAGGGATTTTATGACTTGACATATTACAAATTTCACTTATGGTACAATGTACTATATGAGAGTTTTCATATCATAAATTGTTGTGCTATTGGTTGAAGGAAATCTCTTTTACAGTTTCTCATTTTGCAGAGAAACCCTCTGTACCATCCCTTCAACACATCCAAAATATAATTGATGGGGAGTTTATTGTTATAGGGTTACCTTAAAGGAATATGTCACCAGTTTTTTCAGCACAGCAGACTTATCTTTTTAAATCATGCCACCTGATATCTCCTCTGCTGTCAGTCACTGGTTTCCTGCCACTTATGCACAAAATGAAGACCCACTTGCAGATGACGGATGTCTCATGACAGGTAATGGAGAGGAAATAATAGAAATGAATGTCAAGCAAAGTTTTATTTTGTCAAAGTTAGTTATTTCTCAGCATTGCAAGTGTTCATGTGCAGGTGGAAAACTGACATTTGAGATTTTTGACATTTGGATTTGTGTTAAGCTAAAAGTGCCCACAAATGTGATATTCACTTCTGAATACTTAACTTTCTAATTTATGCATTTACACACAAAGCATCTGCAATCATTTTTGCATCATCCAATAATCATGGTGGATTTTCATAGAGCACTAATGTAAATTTAGTCAGTGGTTTTACAAGGATCATGAAAACTGCGTCTGACTCTGCTGGATGTGTCTCCCAGTTTATGAGAGTTTTTTCTCTCCGCAGTTTCCAAAGTGCTGCTCATTGTTGGAACTGTTTGGTTTCTCTATAAATTTTATGCTCCCGATCTTAATATGTTATGATTTGGCTCTTAAAATTGAACCGAATTGAATACCTTTTGTTTTAGTCCGTCCATTTTTTGCTATGGATTTTGTGAAGCATAAAAACATAAGATCACGGCATAATTGATATCACATGTAGTAAATGATACAAGCTGAACATTCAAAACAAAATGTTTGTTCAAACCAGGCAGCTGTAATATCTAAGTGTAAGAGAAGTATTTGGCAAATTAGCAAAGTAATGATGCTTATATATGTAGAAAGGCAAAATGAGAGAGCACGTCTGTTTGGAAATAGGTTTTAAAAATGCCTCAATGTGCTCCATTGTTAAGAGTTTCTGTTTTTTACCACATTCAGTAGCAGCACTTTTCACTGTTACGAATTGTCTTACTAAGCTCATTTTTGCCATCTAGTGGAGATAAGAAGCACGACAGGTTTTTTGTGAGCTGTAGTTTACAGTGACCTCCACTTATCTGCTCTGTGTCATGCCTGGGAAAGATGATAAGAAAATCTAATTTGCATAAAATACAACAGTCATTCCTTATATGATTTTCATTATCAGATTATACCTCAAGAAATCAATTGGCTGCTTTCTCAAGAGGCACACAAAAGAATAATTGCAGTTGAGTCAAATGTACTGGATATTTTTTAATAATTCACATTTTACGTATAGACTTTTATGTCAAACACAAAAAATATGCACAAGTCAATGATTCTAATCCAGCAGATCCAGCTCCTATAGGTCAGTGGTGGGTTGTTGTGAGGAAACTAAACCTGCATTTATTGCAAGAGCTTTAACAGGGAGGTGAAGCATGAGCGCTGTAGCTTCCATCTGAAGTGATAATCAACTCAAACAAAGGTTTTCCTGCAGCAATTGCACAATACAAGCCAGGTAACGTACACAAACCAATAAAATACAATATATACAGTGGATATATGTAATTGAAATGAAGAGAACCATGGAAGAAAAGCTATAAAAGGGATTGTGAAGATCAGTGCAGTTTGTGTTGTATATCAAATGTTTCAGTGTCGTACATTTCCTTCTACTCGGTTGTAATCTGGTTGATCCACACTGTGTAAAGGTTGTGATAAGGCTTTGTATTGTTTGAGCGTTATCGCAGCCTCATCACCACATTTGTTTCACCGGCATCTCCTCTCACATCAGAGCTGTGTGATGGTGAGAGCTGGTCGCTAGTTTGAGAATCTAATTTCTCTTTTTGGCTCCTTATTTAAGGCAGAAAAAATCAACATAGTTTAAATATTAAAATTTAGAGATTCAAAGATCCCAATCCCTGTCAGGAGAATCTGCAACAATCAACAACATTTATTTCATACTGAGCAACAGGCCATAATAAAAAAAAAATCATCACTATAACCCAATGATTATGTTTCCAGCTAAAAGATGCCCAATGCCTTCAGTGTCTGTTTTGTATTTTTATCTAATGTATTTCACCACAAGGTGTCAGTGAAGTCCAATGGATCAGCTTCTACATGGGCAGACATAATGGTTTACATTTTATGAAAGAAACAAAATCAAAGAATTAAGAATGTAAAGTAAGTTGTTATGTGTACGCTCTATTTTGATTTTCAACTTGCAGCCTGTTGCTAACACATAAGCCTGAGGTGCCTGATGTCCTGCTCGTATAGAACAGAAAAGACCATTGTCCTGCACATTGATGATATATGTTAAATGTGTAAAATGTTTGCTTTCATAACCATTCATTAAGTCTGTGAACCATTTAATAATGTCTAGAAATTTTAAGTTTCTTCTGAATTTGCCAATCAATTCAACAAGAATTAAACGTTTCAGTTAAACATGCTTGATTGGAGTTAAACCCATAAGGTACGGATGCAAAATCAGCATCCTGCAATGATGCACGTCTTTGTTAGTCAAAATTTTAAAATGAAGGCTGAGGAACAAATCCTCGATAGCATCGCGAAACATTCATCAGATCTCGTTTATGCTAAATTTAATAATTAGTCCGCGTGACTAAAAAAGAGCAACAAAAGCAGAATTAGACTCTAAGTCATACTCATATACATGAAAAGTGCTTGTGGGGAAGGATTTTACGTACGGTTTCTGTTCCTGTTGGACTGATGATCACATGGGGCGGCACAGGAAGTGCGGTGGCAGAGCTCAGGAAGACACACCCATCTGCTTCCCAGCTGTGAGCAGTGGGGACTTCCTTTACATTCAGATTCAAATCAGTTCCACATGAATCAGTCAGATGCACATCTGGTTCTTCTTCTATTTTTTCCCCTGTGGTCAACTGGGATTTGGTGACTTGATCAATCATCAGCTGTCATTAATACAATGACCTGGCTTCTGTGGAAGTACCCTGCATTATGGGAGGAGGAGGAGCCATCAGAGGCCTGAAAGTATGCTGACAGAGATCCGTTGGTCTCAGACCGTCGCCTCCTGCAGCAGGAGGGAGCGGTGCATCACTCTACACACACATCCTGCCACTGGAAACTATAGCAGCCCTCAATGAGAACAAAGGGTTGTTATTTTAGAGTGTCGTTGCCATTTGAGTGCTCAAGAGCTCTGATGCAGCCCACACTCTCTCGCTCGCTGTTCTATTTTATCTCTTTTTAGCCTCAGTGGAAGAAAAGTTATGTTTATGTTGTTACATCAATGGTGATCCAGTGACTCATCAGGCCCTTCGCTGAGTCAAGAAAAGTTCTTCAGTGCAGCAGATCACACAGTGTATGTGGGTGCATCATGGAGAGAAGCCCCTTTAATGAGGCAGACTGCGGTCACATCTTGTGTCCTAACGTGAACCAGTCTGATCCCCCCCCGCCTCCTTTAGTTTGAGTCCACGTGGAGCTGATGTTTGTGTCTGTTCATCAGATGCCTTTTCACATTAAAGCGAGACAGCTCGGCCGATCGAGAAGGCTTTTAAAGACAGAACTTTTGCTAAATTATTTCTCAGAATGCATAATGCATAACCCTGAGAGATCATGGGAGGAAGAGGAAGAGGAGGGTGTGTGTTCATCTCTCCAGCCTCCTTTTTCTGGACATTTACTGTCTCACAGCAAGTCCTACATCCCCTTTTCATCTTTCTCCTCTATCGCAACAAACATACAGAGATTTCCGTCACTTCTGTTGACTGTGCGGCCCGTCCTTGGGCTGGGACACCACACACGTGTCCATAAGCCCCTCAAATTCACAAGATTGGATGTGATTAAGAGACGCTGTGTTTTGTTTGCAGATTAAACCAATTACTACCACCAAGGTCTGTGAAAACATCCACACATGACAATGCCGGCCCCCTCGAATGAGACCCTGAACTTCTGTCCTACTCTCACACATACAAGTTTACAAAGTACACAACGACTTTCCTACAAATTGGCGGTGATTTAATTTGCCTCATCATTGGGTTATAAATGTGGTTGCATTATCCCAGCTTATTGGCCATGTCCCGTCTAATGATGTGAGTTGATCTGATTTCAAACGTTTCGCCCTCAGAGGCTCAAGCAGATGCTGAGGTTTATGGTGAATGAAAAGAGGGTGCCGAGGTTAGGTGCCACGCAGTGATGTGGCACAAGTGCAGTCTTTTCAACTATCTCTGAATACAAGGATGTATATTTTGCAGACTCTTCTTTTTTGTCTTTCCTCCTGTTGATTGTCTTCAATACGTAAGCGTGGTTAAGTGACGGAAGAGCATCCCTGTATCTTTGATAACAAAGTGATACTGCGAGATTACAGAGTCAGTTTATCTGCTCTCCTTTGGTTGCAACGTCTCCTCTGAACACGTGGCAGATGAAAACCTTTTAAAACATATTCTACTGACAGATACATGCTTTATTATAAGCATTTGTCTCTTCTGTGCCCATTAAGGTCAAACAAAGATGAAACTGCATCTACGGTTATCATTACAAGAAATGTGTTCTCTCAAATCTCAAAGATAAAGCTGCTGAGTTTGTACTGGGAACTTTTTAAAGATGCAATAAATGAAGTTAAATTAATAATTTTTCTGTAAAATTCTGCTCTAAATCACCTGGAGGCAACAAGGACACACTGGCAGATTGCTGCAAAGCACCTGCCAACGTGCAGCTTCAGACCTGCAAACACAGACAAGCATGTTCCAGTCCAGCCTGCGGTGACTTTAAGTACCAGCTGCACCA